ATTAATGCCTGTGTCCCTCATAAGCGCCACATGAACTCTATTTACTCCCGTTCTCTGAAAAGCAAACAAAAGCAGCAAGATGGGTGCCCAAAACCTGCCCATCCTATTGAACTGAATTGGAAGACATTAATTTCCTGCTTATTTTCTGACAATGTTTTCTCTGTAACTTCAAGTTGATATGGACTTTGGCCTCTAATATGATGTTAGCTGCACTAACAACAAATTTAGAGCTGCCACATTCATTTGTTGAGACTATTTAAGAAGCTACCATTAATCACCATTTTCTGATATAAAGAAATAAAAGATATTTGCCATTATACCAGAGTAAAAAGGATTTGTGGAAAATGCAATTAAAAACTTGGAAAACCATGCATAGGTCCTTCGAGTATGAATTTCATATGAACTTTTTGAAGACTCTCCTTTACAAGGATTTCAAAATTTTTAAATTTTTTGCTTCAAAATTAACTGATCTTTTTTCCTTAAGATTTATTTATTTTTGTTGGAAAGGCAGACTTACAGGGAGAAGAGAGTCAGAGAGAGAGAGGGAGAGAGACCTTCCATCTGCTGGGGTTCACTCTCTAAATGGCTGCAATGACCGGCATTGAACTAGTCTGAAACTCGGAAACAGCAGCTTCTTCCGGGTCTCCCACGTGAGCCATCCTCTGCTGCTTTTCCAGTCCACAAGTAGGGGAGCTGGTGCCCGTATGAGATACTGGCACTCGCATGTGGAGGATTAGCCAGTACAGCCACTGCACCAGTCCCAAACTTATCTTTTAGTTGCATTTGCCTCCTTCTACACCAGTCTGAAATAAAGGTAGTCCTATTTGAAAAGTTAGCAAATCGACAACAAAGCACTGGATTCCTGAAAGTTCTGGGTAGTGGATCAGGAGCATGGAGATGAGAAGAACTGAATATTCTAGTCCCCCAGGCCCTGTGTAGCCAAGGAAACAACACAGCACAGTAAGACTGCAGTGTCTGTCTTTCACGCCAGTGGCCTGATAGTTTGATATAGCAAATAAACATCTTGTTTGGAAAAGTAAAAAAAAAAAAAAAAAAAGAAAAGAAAAAGATACATTTAAAGGTTCTGGACACAGAAGTATTATTACCAGGGTAACCTTTTCAACTTTACTCTGTAGGTAACTGCTTCTCAGTTTGGGGATCTGTATTCAAGAGGAACATGCAAAGTAGAGCTTGAATACATTCTTGTTCTCAGTTTCATGTTCTCAAATGGAGACCACTCAGCAATTTGCTCCATTAGGAAACTTCAGAGCAAACAGAATGAAACCAAGGAACAATAGCAGTCATGCTTCCAACCAGGCCAGGAAGAAAAGTAGGCCAAGTGCTAAAACCCAGCACAGCACCGGGCAGGATTTCCCCAGAAAGCAAGTTGTGTGCCACTGCTCAGGGGGTGACAGGGGGACATAGGCATGGGTGTGAGGACACAGTTAAACCTGGAAGGCACCCTCTGCAGTGCACAACTGCATGACAGTTGCCAGACAGGGGCTGGTGTTTGCAGTTTTGTCAGGGGAGAGCTAAGGGTACTGTGTCTTGCTGGGAAAGCTCTCCTGGTCTCAGAAATGAAAGCAGGAGAGAAACATGGGTTATTGTGGGGCACGCACACTGCACTGCCTGGCCCAGAAACAAGGAGGTCTGGGTTCAGAGCCCAGCTCCACTCTCCCATTCACCAAATTTTCAGAATACCTCCTACAGGCCAGGCACTGCCCTCAATCCTGAGTAAATGGTGAATAGATGGCACAGCTCTGTTTCCTGGAGCTGACTTGAACTTGGGACAAGGTATTGTGAGACCATTTCTTACCTACAATGGAGTCAGGGTGAGTGCCCTGTGGAACCATCTGCTACAGAAATGCATGTTACCAGGTTTGGTTGCGATAAAAACCAGTCCACACTACAGAATGCCAGGAGGAGGTTGACTGTGCCGGATGTGACTGCAGTGCCCATCCAGCACATGTGAGAAACAGGAGGGGAGGGGACAGAGCCAGCGGGGGAATAAGGGGAGGTTCCCCTGCTGGACAGCTACTCCCACTGGAGAGCGTGAACTGGGATGGGGGCAGACCGGACTAAGCAGGGCTACAACACCTGTGCGCCTCATGTGGACTAGACCAGGGAAAAGCCAGGATGGGTTGATTGTTCCTTGGGTGCAACCTACAATTAGAATGGGAGAGGGCTGTTTGGTTATAGCCGTAGCATCAGCTGGCAGAAACTGGCACTGAGGGCTAATCCTGTCAAGTTAAACTGCAGAACCACCTGGAAAGTGCACAATCCGGGAGTGAGAGACCTGGGAGGGAAATAGTGGGTTCCCCCCTCTTGGGTTATCACTGCCACGGGAAGGCACGAGAACTAGGACAGGGGCTGGGGTAGCTAGACAGAGAGGCACCCAACCACACCCGTGAAGGCTGGACTGTTGAGCTGGGTAGATGGATCCAAGCTTCAATGCCATTTGCCATGTACGACAACCAGGGGGATGTGGGTCAGATTGGACTGGTCTGCCACACATATTGGCAAACCAGGGTAGGGGGTTGGCCTGGTGGGGGTTATTGTGGGCCGCTCTCATCAGGATGCAGCTCCCACTGGTTTAGGTGAAGACCAAGTATGTGCTGTGCAGAACCAGGCTGGACTGCAACACCCATTGGTTCCAGTAGAAGGCGGGGCTGAAAACAGAAGCAACCTAGCACTTGCAACTACCAGCTGACCGGGTGATGGACTGTGCTGGGCCCTGTGCTTGCTGGTGCATACGAGTATCTGGCCTGGGAACACCTCAGACGAAGTTTCTTTGGTGATCTGCCCAATTGAAATGCCAGACTCAGAACACAAACCATGAAGGGACAGAAGATGGAACAAGTTAATCAACCACCTCAGCAACAAAATACGGGGCAAATAGAGACGCTATGATGGACAATGTCAATTAATGGATTTTTCAACAACCTCATCGTGTTTGGAGAGGCAAGATTAGCGGTAATTCCAAAACTGGTGACCTATTGAAACCACTTCAATGAGTATCTCGGAGCATGCCCCACATGCGGGACTTGGGGTGGGTGGGAAATCAGGGGGGGCTTCTCCCTCAATATCCCCCTCTACCTCAGATATATGAAGGAAACAGTATGGAAATAATAGTCTTATCCACTTGCCTGTAGCCCTTGACCCTTTTTACCCAAATTAACCATGTAAAGATTGTTAAAATAAAAAATATTTAAAAAAAAAAAAAAAAAAAAAAGAAATGCATGTTAACATGACTGTTACACTTGGGACTTGTGAGGCAGACAGCATCTGAGATACTGGGGACTACAGCCATGACTAACACAGAGCTCCTGCTATCAAGGCTCCCAGCAGCCAGGCAGGGAAGACAGACATACCAGCAATGACAAGCAGAAGAGGCAATATGAAACTCCCCACAGCTGGCTAAGGTCCCCTAAGACACAAAAGGCATGCTTTGGGGATCCTGACAGTACTCAGCAAGTGGCTGGCCCAGTGTACCTCCAGTGTGGGCCTGGTAGGAGCCATCAGCCAGCTGGGGTGCTGAGACCAAAGGGAGAGCCCAGGGGAGTCAGCTCTGGGAGCCCACATGTTCTGTGGCTCTGAAGGGGCTCAAGCAGGGCTTGTATTTCTGTGGGGAGACTACCTTTTGTGAGCAGTCTTTAAGGTAACTGAGGTTAGGGATTGGTCAGGGGCCTGCTGTCCCAGGGAGGGTAGGGGGAGTCCTGAACAGAGCCCCAGGAGGCTTTTCCACTGCATCACTCCATTCCTTGCCCTCTGTGGAGACCCCTGTGGGTGAGCTCTGTCGCTTTTCTCCTCCTTCCTTACCAGCTTCAGATCCCTACCAACCTTCCTCCATTGGCCTGGACCCCCTAGATGATGGGTAGGAGCAAAGGTCCCCCAAAGCTGTTGACCTGGACCCTCAGGCAGCAGTTGGAGCAGGGAGAAGAGCAGGTTGGGGCAAAGACAAGGACTGATTCAACAGGAGGCTTCTCCTTGCTCCTCTGCCCTGCTGCAGACCGACAGTGCCTATCAGGAGAGCAGCTGACACTCAGGGAGCAACCTGACCCCTAAGCGGTACCAGTGGCACTGCCCATGAGGGTGTGCTGCTAGCCTAGGAGTCAGTCAATGTGTGGTGGCCACAAGTCCATCCTGACGACTTGTCTGAGAGGCCAACATGCCACCTGCAACCTCCTTGACTGCAGAAAGACTGGGTTCCTTGGGACTCAGGGAGGCTGGAGCACATTTGCTGTCTTCTGGACCACTCCTGTCACATACTTGCTCTTCCTGGCATTTTCTTCCTGGGGGCACAGTGCCAAGTGCAGCTTTCTGCAGTAGGCAGCGGGGGCCTGAAGCAGGTGGCTGCTCTGGGGCCACCACTGAGGGACTTGGATCTGAATGCAAGTCTCCAGGCAGCCAGGCCAGGGGATGCAGAGTGAGAGTGCTCCCCAGCCTGCTTCCCTGAGGGCTACACCAGAGAACCACAGCATCCTCTGCCCTCCCTTGATAACATGCATATGCCAGGTTCTCTGGCACCATGATGCCACTGTCCTATGCTGCAAGGGGGCCTCACGTGTCTAACAGTGTACCCTCACAACCATGCCCGTGTCCCTGCTGTGGTGGTGCCGTGGCACACCTCACCCTTCCCAGGTGGATCCCTTATGGTTCTTCTACTAGCCAACACCTTCCGACACATACCAGTCCCTTCTCAGCCTCAAGAGTGGATAAACCTGAGCCCCTTCAAAGCTTTGCAGCTGCATCATTTTGCCCTTGTTGATAACACTGTTTCATACTTGATCTTCTGGCTGCTCCATCTAAGTCTGTTTTGTCTTTCTGCTTAGATAACAAACCCAAGGCCAGGGGCTCGCTGACCAAACAGCAGGAGCAAAGGCAGGCATTCTGTTCTTGCATCACCTGATTTCTATTAAAACCCTCCCACGTCAAGGCATGACTCCTTGTGCCCTCGTCAGCAAGAGGTTTATCAGCAGGGTTTATTCACATGTGGGAGGTATGACCTCAGCACTGGGCAGGGGAGGGAGAAGCAATGTCAGGACCCCACAGGCTATTTCTGGAAAGGTTTTGAGTCTTGTTGCTTGGGAGAACTCCTCAAAAGAGCCTTGTTGGGGATGGAGGGAGGCACGTGGCAGTGGAATGAGAAGGGGTGGGAACAGGAAGAGACGAGCTCAAAATAAAGACAGCAGCTGGTGGTATGCACCTGCTCAGGGCAGCCTGGAGCCCCTGCGGAGGCTCCTGCCTCCTCAGGGCCTTCCCCTCACCACCTGTCATCCCAGCTGCAGCTAGCCCTCTCCTCACTGAATGAGTATGGGTCTTTATTCACACACACACAGAACAAGCTAGTACAAAACACATTTTAAAAAAATGGAGATAAAAATGCACACTCCCCCGGGCCCAGCCTCTTGCACATCTGTGCCTCTCCTGACGTGCACTCAGCGCTGCTGAGCCTCCTGCAGGAGCTTGAGCAGGGGGTCGTCAGCCCTGAGGGCGAAGGTGAGTGTGCGCTGCTGGTAGTGTGAGGGGTTGCACTCCAGGTTCTCGATCACCTCGGCCAGCAGGTGCGCTCGTTCTACCCCAGACCCAGGGGCTTCGAAGCCCAGGGCGGTGAAGTGCACGTGCAGATGGTAATAGGAGGGCAGGTAGTGCAGGTACACACGGAGCCGGTCCCCCTTCACCTGGTAGCGCTGCAGGATGGCTGCCTGGAGAGGAAGAGAAGTCGGGAGAGGCATCATGGGCTGCACACAAAGCAGTGTCACCCCTACTTAGACCCCTCCTCCTGACCTAATCCCAGACTAGCCTAACAAAATCCTTCCAAACAGGTCTCCACCCATGGTCTGCTCTACAGTTCTCCAGGAAATCAACAAATACAGCAGACAAGCCTCCGACTCTTCCTCCCTGTAGAAGCGCCAGGGACCTTGCTTCAGGTTCCCCACCCAGGGGAGGCCCAGTGCCTCCTAAGACTATGGTACTAGCCTGCCCCTAGTATGGTGCATAAGCCCAAGGAGAAATGGTTCATTCAGCACAGTACAGGGTGGGGCTTGGAAACAGAGGTGGGGCATGAGGAACTTGGTGAGGGAGAAAGGGGCAAGGGCAGGAAAGGGCTTCCCCAGGCAGACCTGAGATGACTCAGTTGGGCTCCCTTTGCCCACCTCCCACCCCTCTTCAGGAGCCTCTGGTCTCCACCATGGAGACCAGGGGTGAAGGGAATCAGATCAGGGTCCATTGGGCTCAGAATTGCACTCTGCACTGGAGCTCACCCTGGGGACCTCTGCAGCAGGAGGAAAGCAGGACCAAGATACCCAAAGTGCCTCCTGGGGGAAGCAGGGTGGACCCACAAGGGGGTGGCTGCCAGAACTGCCAGGACAAAAGATGGAGCAGAGCCAGTGGCGGGGGAGCTGGCCTGCAGGTGAGTCCCCCTAGGTCTGTACTATGCTGAGCTCAGAGAGGAACAGGCTTCTGAGCTGGCTGGGCCTCCCCTGCCTTCTGGGCCTGGCATGACAACAGAGCTTTACAATCCTGCCTATAGAATGATGGATTTACAGGAGAATCCCTCTACACTCAAGTAGGGAAGTGGCCTGCCCCAGCCATTCAGCTGCTTGGGGCCAACATGGCAGGCCAGGTCCTCAACCCGAGATTCTGGGTACTTAATCCCCGCCCCTGGGGCTTCTTTTAATGCTCTTATAATCTCAATCAATTTAACATGTATCCTAGATAAAAATCATTCCGGCACTTCAGGCTGGCAGAAGTGCCTGCCCACAATCTAGATGAGGCCCATGCTGTACAAAGCCAAGTCATACACCCTTCCTCTAGGGTGCTCTACTGTGTCATAGGTTGTCAGGGAAAAAGTATAGGGGGTGGGTGTGGGTCAGAACTTAAGCATGAGAACCTCTGGGATGGAGTGTGGCAGGGCCTCTGAGATGCCACATGCAGCAAAGGACTGGAAGGACCAAGCTGGGGGCAAACAAAGGTGTCTGGAAGTAGAGCTGCTGGGTAAGGCAGGACCAGGAGATGGCAAGCTTTGGCAGGGGGTTGGGGGGGGGCGGGGAGGGGAGGCCTGAATTGCTCCCACCAAGAAGCCCCTTTGTAAGGTGGACTCTGAGAGGGAAGGAGAGTGGGCCAGGGAACACCCTGGAAGCCTGACATGACTGCTGTGGGCCTCAGCCTGGCTTGGAGAAGCAGCTCACCTGGCCCTCACGGAGGATGTTCCTGAGCAGCGGCAGGTGCTCTGGGGTCAGGTCCCGGAGTGATTTGATGTCCCGGCGATGGCAGATGGCAATCAAGTACAGGTCATCAAGCTGCATGGAGAGAGAGCAGAAACCAGAGAGTAGTGCCCAGTTCAGCAGAGGGCAGGGCCAGGCCCAAGGAAGCTGCCAACCCTGGGAGCCCCTGTGCTAGGCTGTGGCTGGTCCAGGAGACCCCCAAGCTACAGAGGTGTCCGTGAACCCAAGAAGAGGAGGGCAGTCTAAGGAACAGGACATCTGTTACTTTCCATGGGAGACAGAATGGCCAAGACACTTCACTCCATGGGACTGATGGAGGGAGCAGGGAACTTTGAGAAAGAGCTAAGGACAACTCCTTCCTCACGAGTTTGCAGTCCAGTCCCATGCCTGTAAGAAACTGGGCCATTAGACATAGACTGATCTAAGTTCCAGGAGCAAGCCAGTGTGAAGGCTCAACAGGCTCATCAACCACCTGCTAAGTGCCAGCATCCTGCTTCTGATCCAGCTCTCTGCTTATGGCCTGGGAAGGCAGTGGAGGATGGCCCAAGGCCTGCTGTAGCCTTGGGAAATCCGAACGGAAGTTCCTGGCTCCTGATTTCAGATCAGCTCAACTCTGTCTGTTGCAACCATTTGGGGAGTGAACCAGTGGATGAAAAATTCAAATAAAATGAAAACAAATCTTAAAAAGAAAGAAAAAGTTGAGAAAGAAGAAAAGGCTCTGGCTAGCTATGGCTATTAACAGAGGCTCCTGGGGGAGAAGACAGAGGTTCTGGGTCTTAAAAGAGATAGAATTAAAAAAAAAGACATTTGGTAGAGGGAATAGTGAGTATAAAGGCTCAGAGGCAAGAATGTGGAGGGCAGTAAAGGAGGAAGTAACAGGACCTGTCTTGAGTTGAAGACACGTGAAGGGGTGGAAGGGATGTGCACGTGAATGGGAGGATGGGATGTGGGGCCGGTCAGCAGTGAGCTCCACCCGGTATGTTCATCCATCTCTCAAAGAGGTCATGGGCAGTCCTTCCTGCTGTCCTTCCTGCAAATGGAGCCTGGCTGAGAACCTGGAGGTCATGATAATGCAAAGAGCCAGAATCAACAGGATTCTGTGCCAGATAGCAAATGAGCTCTTCCTCTTGCCCAGAAAATGCTCCCACACCCTCTCCGCTCACCTAAACTCCAGCTTGACCTGGCTGTCACCACCTTGTGCCAGGAAGACCCAAGACTCCAGGGCTCCAAGGAGACAAGATACAGGAGAAGCCAGGGAATTTGCAGTGGCTGGCTTCCTTGTGAACCTGAGTCACCCAGTCAAATCCCCATGGGTCTCAACTTGATGACTCAGCCTGAGGTTGTCTGCATCACTGCTAATAGCCCCAGGTCGGTCTCTTCTTGCCACAGAAACCCTTCTCTGCCTGAGCTCTAGGAATCTGAGCTCCACGCTGCAGTGGAACCCACAGACAGACCCAGCATGTGGCTAGGCTGCACCAAAAGGCCTCTATTCTGCCCCCAAGTTCTTTCTGCACGCTCCCTTCTCAAGGTCTGTGCTCAAGAAATTTACTCTCTCACCAGCCAGGAGTCTAAAGAGAACCGGGAAATAAAAGAGCTCCAACCTGGGCACCCGTTTGAGTCCCAAATGCTCCATTTCTGATCCAGGTTTCTGTTAATGAGCCTGGGAAAGAAATGGAAAATGACCCAAATCCTTGGGTCCTTGAGTCCACTTGGAAGACCCAGTAAAGTTCCCACCTCTGGTTTCAGTCTGGCCCAGTCCTGGCCATTGTGGCAATCTGAGGAGTGACCCAGCAGATGGAAGAGCTCTCTCCCCCTCCAATCCCCACCCTTCCTCTTCTTGTCTCTGTAACTCTGCCTTTCAAATAAATATATCTATAAATAAATAAAAACACCTCTCTTCCATTGGCTGGAATGAGGCATGACAGCTTCTGGTATTGGGGTCAGGCTGGGTTAGGGAGATAAACTATTCTTTCCTATTAGACACAACCCAAGACTTCCTGCAAGAGGCCTAGGGGCCTCATGGTCCACTGTGATCATCGGAGAAAAGTTGAAACAAGGGGACAGACAAGGGTATCTCTGATGGCATCCCAAAAGGTGACCCATCACTCTTTTTTCAAGGAAATTCAGTAAAATCAAGGTTACAGACAGAAAATGGCTAGTGTTGCAGAGCTACCCTTGACCTCTGGAGCAACACACAGGCAGAGTTCCCCGGTCTGAGAACCTTAAGCCTCACAGCTTCAACTCTGTGTACGTGCCAATGTACACTCAGAGGCATATGCTCATATGAGTGTCCTTAACAAGTTCATCCTAGTACAAACATTTTAAAGCCCATACACAGCACTTTCATAATACACTTTTCCTATGGATTTCTGAAGGCTTCTCGTATATGTGAGACAGACAGAAAAGTGACCTGTGGAAGGAGAAACAAAGAAATAGCAAAGACGGCTGCTTTGTGGGGAGTTTGGAGGACAGTGGGGTGCAAGAAACAATTTTACCACCAACTTCCTGTATGATTTTCACTTTGCCAAGTGTATGTATTAACCAGGACAGAACAAAGGGGAAAAGGGGGCACACAGGAGATCTGTGAGGCCAGAGGAGGAGCCAGTATCAGCATCAGCACAGGCCTTGGATAACAGCTCGTTGAACGGCTACACAGACAAGCAGGCTCTCTACGCAGGTACGCAGGTCCGTCAGTTTCAGGGCGGCAAGATCATCCTTGTGGGAGAAGTTGGCAAGTGGGGACTCAGAGCACAGGCCAGAGCACCTCTCAAGGACAAAGCACAGAAATGTGGGCGTGCTGTGTCTCCTGCTGCCAGATCTGAAGGAGCTTTTGAGATGACGGCTGTCACAGGGCAAGGATTTGAGGCACTGAAATCTGGTACCATCAAAAGACAAGCAGGAATTAAGCAAAGGTTAAGAAGGATCACTCTTACATCAGTACTGTGTAAAGACACCACATCTGACATTTAAGTGCTCAGCTCAAGCCTTGAGGGGAAGTGCCATCAGCTAGGTGGCTAAAGCCACAGCCCCTGAAGCCCTTCCTGTCTTAAAGAGGGGAGACAGAGAGAGAGAGAGAGAGAGAAAGTGAGCAGGTCCCCACCACAACTGGGTCAGAGGGCCAGAATTTCCCTTCTCAGTGTATCGAGGACTTCCTAAATGGCACAGAAGTTCCTTTCTGCAGTCCTTCACAGCCCTCAGACCACAACCCCCTGCAATCACAAGTTCTTCCTACCCACTCCCCACCTCCCAGGGCACAGAGTGCCAGGGACACAGGAGGTCTGCAGAGCCATCAGGGGGCCTGCTTCCAGATGCCTGGGCAGAGACTCATGCTGTAGGGAAAGGAACACGCAGGTGTTTGCTCAGTCTCCCTCACACAGATCTTTGATCTCACTTGGCTCAAATAAATAATCGCTCCACGCTGCACTTCTGGAAACTCCCTTCAGCAACCTGCCCTCCTCCAGCAGTGTGCAGAACGCCCAGGCACCTCTTGCTGAGAATGAGACAATACCCACTCCCCTGGTGATTCGGACCCAGACCACTGTGCAAGGGCAGCGGCATGGCATTGCCAGGAAGCAGCAGTTTAAAACTAAACAAACTGCAGGTGGGCCCATTCAGGACCCAAAGGCCTCAGGGTGGGCCCCAGGAGGGAGAGCAGGGGGTCCTCCAGGGACAAGCAGGCCTTCCTGGGTCAAACAGCACATTAGCCCAGCCCAGATTACTCTGAGAGCATGATCAGGGGAGAGGGGACAATACTTACTCCCAGCTCTTCACGGCTGCCTGCTGAGCCCCTCCCTGTTATACTCTGACACTCTTGGGGCATCAGACAGCCCATGCGAAGTCTCAGCTTTGGCCTGTATGGGAGACAGTAGCTGTCTAGGGTGCCTCTAAAACCCACTCCTCAGACTAAGGTTAGGAGACGCTGAGGTGCCTGCAGGCCAGGCTAAGGCTGGCAGGGTATTCCTAGAGTCAGCAGCCACAGTCTCACCTGCCAGTGCTTCAGAACAAGGGCCTGCCGAGATTTGCAGGTGTCTAGGGGCAACAGAGAGAACGCAGGCTGGGTGCTGCCGGAACCACGTGGCAGCTCCAGCCAGCTGGAGCGAACGGCACTTGCTTTACCCGTTAGGGGACCAGAGCCTCAGGGAGCTTGTCACTGACTCATTAGAGCACAGCAGCCTGTGTAGAAAGGGTACTCACTATCTCCCAGGGGCTCAAGCGGCACCTGCTGGGTAACTATAATCCGCTTAGAGAGAAGGGTCAATGTGAGAAAGAAGGGCAGGCTGGGGGGAGGGGGAGGGGGAGGAGGCTCCAGCGGGCCAACTTTACCTGCTGTTGGTTCCACTTGAGGTCGGGGATGAGGACAAAACCATCTGAGGGATCTGGGTTCTCGAAAACAATCCGGTCAGCTTCAGCTTTCTTGTCGAGAATGTTATACACCCACTGGCAGGAGGGAAGAGATGGTTCACAAATCCACTCACCAGCTCTTGGGAGAACCACTCCTCCCCACCCCCCCGCCGCCACACACATCCAGTCTGGTTGAGGGAAGCTCTCTGGCCCTCTGTCCAGAAATGGCAAGAGAGTCAGAGAAGGCCACCAAACTCAGTGCATTTAGTCAGGCACTCCTGGTCCCAAGCATCTGCCACTGGGGGGTCCAGAAGAGACTCCACCCTATTTTTGCCCCCAGCTGACACCTGACCAGCCCAGCTGTCATGGGCTCCTGCTGCTTGGAGTGAGCTGGGCTCTGTAGGCCCACACTGATCGGCATGGCACATACACACTTCACTCTGTGCTTACAGCCTGGTCTGCCTCTCCACTACCCACTTGGGCAGAGCTGTCTCCATCCACTAGATTCAGAACCAAGGTACAAAGACAGGTTGGAAAGAGAGCTTGGAGTTTCTTCCTGCAAAGGAAGCCAGTGACCCACTGGGGCAGCGAAAGCCTTGGGTTGTTGGCATTAAGGAATGTGAATTTCTCGCCCACATGGGACACCCACCATCAATGGTCTTAGCTGGCACCACAAAGCAGAACCAACAGCCAGGAAGAGAGGGAGATCTCCTGGACACCTTTGTGGCAACCGGGCTTGTGGCCTTCACCCCACCCTTTGGCCCAGGCCCATTGGGTACCCTTGAGGATAGCACGGAGCAATCAGGGTCCTGAGCAATCTTTCTGAGGAGACAGACTGCAGGGCAGGGAGGCTGGGCAGGGCTCCGGGCTTGCAGAGCTGCTCTGGGTGTGTGCCCCTTCCCAGCTCGGAGAGCCCTCGGCAAGGGTAAATTCCTTCCCAGATGGCAGTCTCTCTGCCCACTTCCAACAGAGGAACCTGCCAGGAAGCCAGAGAGGAGTGTGGCTGGAGTCCCACTGTTCCCCTTCTTCCTCCAAGTCAGAGGCCTCCAAGCTCAGGGACCAGGGAGATAATGCATAAAAACATAACCGGACTGCAATGGTCCTCTTTCCTGGACTCTGGCTTGGGGTTCGTATGCATCCTGCTCTGGGGCTGGAAGTCAGAGACATGGCACTGCATCCTCAGCCATCTGCTGGAATGGAGAGGAAGGGGCCAGGGCATCTTCCTAGAACTTAGGGCCTCCAGCCCACTGCTGGAGTCTTTCCTGAAAGGAGCCTGGCTGAGCCCCTTCCCACAGCCGCAGGGGGCAGGACCACACACAGCTGGCAGGCTGTGACAGGTCCACAGAGGCATTTCCTGCCTGCCTGACCTGCACGGCTCCCTCCTGCACTGTGCTATGGGGGAAGGTGGGGAGGAAGCAGAAGAGCAGGAAGCTGACCTGCAGCCTCATAGAAACTGCAGGGAGGGAGGGTGATGGTGGCACCCAGTGAATTCCTGCCCACAGAGGAGCAAGGCCTAGGACAGGGAGCAGTGGGTGGCATAGGGAGCAAGTGAACAGACTCTGGGACCCAATGATTGTTCTCTTCTCACAGCCCCACCATGATGAGCTGTCACCTCAGGCAAATGGCTAAATCCTCACCCAGCAAACAAGGTTGATTAGACCGCATGGCAAGGGGCTATGGCAAGGCTTTTCAGGGGCATATGTATGTATGGGAGCACACCTGGCACAGAGCCCAGCACAGGGACCTGCGTGGTGCAGGTGCTCGGAAAGTGGGTGACAACAGGATAGGTTGCTGAAGGCTCTGCGTCTTTAGGAATCTTCTCAGGCTATCCTGATCAGCAAAGTCCAGGCATTCCTGGCCTCCTGGCCAGGGTCTACAGGCCTCTTCCCAGTCCCTGCTGGTCCCCTCAGTCCCATCTTCCCTGGTCCCATGGCAGGCCGGGCCCCAGTCACACACATTCCTTGCAGTTCCCCAAGCAAGTCAGAGGACTCTGGCTCTCTGCTTCTACACTTGCTCTCCCTTTGGCTTCTTCCAGCTAACCAACTGGGACCCCTAAAGCCCCTGGGCAATGGTCCTCTGCCTGGGAAACCTCCACTCACTGAGCTGCTCACATCCCTCTGCATTGCACTGTGGCTCCCACAACACACCAGAGTGCTAAGGCCAGTGCTGCCACTGTCTGCCTGCATGTCCATCAGACCCACAAACACTGTGTGGGCATCACCACGGGTGCCACACCCAGGCGACCCTGCAGAGCCCAGCATAGGGCCTATACTATAGTTTCTCAGGAAATAAAGAGACTCGTGTGCTTGCTAGAAACAGCCAAGAAGGAACCTAGGAATGCTTCTGTCAGCTGCTGGTCAAACAGTAGAGTTTTCCTTCTCCAACTAGAACTGCATGATTGCTTTAGTAAGACACACATGGGAGGGGCCGACACCATGGCTCAACAGGCTAATCCTTTACCTCCAAATGCTAGCATCCCATATGGGTACTGGTTCATGTTCTGGCTGCTCCATCTTTGGTCCAACTCCCTACTTATGTCCTGGGAAAGCAATGGAAGATGGTCGAGGCTTTGGGCCCCTGCACTCATGCAGAAGACCTGGAAGAGATTACCAGCTCTGCATTGGCTTAGCTCTGGCTGTTGCAGCTACTTAAGGAATGAACCTGCAGACAGAAGATCTTTCTCTCTGTCTCTCCTTTTCTTTGTATATCTGTCTTTCCAATAAAAATAAATAAATCTTTATTATTATTATTATTATTATTGGAAAGGCAAATGGACAGAGAGAAGGAGAGACAGAGAGAAAGATCTTCTATCCACTGGTTCACTTCCCAAGTGGACACAAGAGTTGGAGCTGAGCTGATCTGAAGCCAGGAGCCAGGAGCTTCTTCTGAGTCTCCTATGTGGGTGCAGGGTCCCAAGGCTTTGGGCCGTCCTCTGCTGCTTTCCCAGGCCACATGCAGGGAGCTGGATGGGAGATAGAGCAACTGGAATATGAACCAGCACCCACATGGAATCCTGAGGGATACAAGGCAAGGATTTAGCCACCTGTCTATCGTGTCAGGGCAAAAATAAATAAATCTTTAAAAAGAAAAGGGGAGAGGAGCAGAGGGAAGGGGAGAGAAAAAAGGAAAAGAAAGGAAAGGAAAAGAAAGGAAAGGAAAGGAAAGGAAAGGAAAGGAAAGGAAAGGAAAGGAAAGGAAAGGAAAGGAAAGGAAAGGAAAGGAAAGGAAAGGAAAGGAAAGGAAAGGAAAGGAAAAGAAGAAAAAAGAGAAGAGAAGAGAAGAGAAGAGAAGAGAAGAGAAGAGAGGAAAAGAGAGGAGAAGAGAAGAGAAGAGAAGAGAAGAGAAGAGAAGAGAAGAGAAGAGAAGAGAAGAGAGAAGAAGCTGGTACAATGGCTCAGTGCAAACACCACAGCATATCATATGTTCTGGGATGTTTCTCTAGGACCCCAAACAGCGCACACTACCTAGCAAGGTGGATACACACACGAGCACTTCAGAAAACCTGAGGCAAAGGTTGGTCCTTGGTATTGGCTCCTGCCTTTAATATGATCCACTCCTAGCCATGGCTGACCTTTGCGGAGTGAACCAGTGAACCAGCAAGTGGGAGATTCCTCTCTCAGATAAGTAAAATTAAGTAAATGCCAATTCAAACTTCATGGAAAACTGAATGAAAAGTTTATTTTGGTGCAAAAAATTCTGAATCTACAGTTTTTTTTTTTAACTTGTATTCTTTCTACAAACCTGTCAAAAACCACCTCAAATACCCAGATTTCAAAATTGCTTGGTACCAAAATAGTCACCTTTTAATTCCACTTTTTGAAGTACCCTCATATTTCTTTTCTGCCTGCCTGAGGCAGAAGAAGTTTGTGCAAATGCTACCTGGGGGTCCCTTGCTAATAATCAGGCTGGCCTTACCCACGGGGAAGGGGACTGTTGGAACACTGGCCTCCCAGAGAAACAGTTTTCTCCCAGGCCCTGCCAACCTCCGTCTCTTTCCTCCTTTGAGTACAAGTCATGCTGTAGTACCCTCACGCTCAGTCCTCCCTCTTCTGCGCCAGGGAGAAACAGCTACGATCTCCCTGCCTAGACACTTCCCAGCAGGGAGAGCCAACTTGGGGAGAGTAAGCAGGAAAGAGTCAGATGAGTGACAAAGGGATGGGACCAGTGAGAGCCACTGAGAGCCAGCAAGAGGGCAAGAAAATGGCTCATCGATAAGCAACAATCCTATTTAACTCTGAGTATGCACATGGGGCCAATTCTAGGCAGAGGCCCTGACTGGCACTGGGCCTGGGCCCAAGAAGGAGTCAGGATCTCTGAGCTAAATAGCCTTGCCTCTGGCCCAGCTGGAAGGTGCTGCCAGCCTAGAAATGGAGGCCCTGCTCCAAAGAAGCCAACAGGGACAGGAGGGCTGCCTCTTTTACCCTGACACTCAGCTGCTGCAGCCTGCTCTGCCTTTACTTAGCAAAGTCAGTACTGGGGTGGACCCAACCCAGCACCTCTCTTTACCCCTGGCAAAGGATACTGCAGAATTCTCGGAGAACATACATAATAAATGCATGTACCTTCAGGTGTGGCCTAGGACCAGAGCGATCACTTTCTCCCTGAGGTCCTCTCCAGCCACCCCATGGCATCCAGCCCAGCCCAGGACTCTCCACTGCTCTGACTCTGTCCACTCCGGCCCATGCACTCACACTTGCACCTACCGTAGAGCTCCTTAGATCCCTTTTGTACCAACTGTGCCACAGAGGCACCACAAGGTAGGAGCTTAGTCCACTGTACCCTCTGCAGTGCCCCTACTGCCTGGCACAGCACCTTGGCTGCTAATACCTCAGCAGATGCTTATAAGAAGGGCAACTAGCCATGGGCACATCACTTTGCATCTGAGCTACGGCAATCAGTCACCTGGATGCTGAGACTCTGGGACTTCAGGTAGGGCAAGGTAACATTCTTATAGTCATCGCCTGTCTCCCGGACCAGGTGGAGGTCCTGGTGCAGGTACTTCTGCAGGTGTTTCTCTGTGGCAGGGTAGACCACGGTCGTCTTTATTTCTGCAATGACAACAATATAGACCATGACTGGAAAGCAAAGCCCATTTACTGCAGTCTCTTACACTCCCTTCTGACCCTCACCCTGACTGTGACCCTTGACAGAAGGAGCCCAAGGCCAAAAGGTTTCTTCACGGAGGAGCCACTCCCGTAAGAACCCTATGCCATGAAATTCATGAGCTGAACCACGCACGTGACCTGGAATGCCAGGCTTACCAAGGAGGCATCACAGACCCCTCATCACTCCAACCCCACCCCTTCACCTTCCATCTTCCAGGCACAGGAAGGAAGAGCCTTACTTCTTCCCACGTGGCACACAGCTAGGAGCACAGCTTTCTGGACTCAAAGGTGAAAATGTGATTGGAAACCTAGTGGTCCAACCCTTCCTAAGGGGCAGCACAGACCAGGGGCTCAAGCTGTGGACTCTGGAATCAGAGCACAGGCAGCTTCTGAGTTCAAGCACCGGCTCTGCTCTTCATTCACCTCAGGTTGAACGCATGGTCTTGAACGATAGCTAGGTCCGGTTATTCAGCTTCTCTGTGCCCCGGCTTCCTTGTTGCCAAGGATAGTCATAATTCTTATGCCGTAAGGCTGGGAGGATTAAGTGAGTTAATTATCCGTGAAGCACTGGTAACAATGTCTGGTGCACAATAAGTGCTATCTAAGTGCCAGCAAGTTTGACCAGGGTTTCTCAACTTTCTTATCACTGCCATGCTGGCCTGGATTACTCTTTGATGAGGAGGTCACCCTGAGCAGGCAGGATGTTGAACATAAACATGTTCCCCAGAACTGTGACAACCAAACATGCCTCCAAACCTTGCCAAACATCCCCTATGGAGGGGAAAAAAAAAAACTGTCCCCAGCTGGGAGTCGGTCTCAGATTCTGTGTTAATGTCTTGGTCCAACACCACCTGGTTTTGGTTAACTCCTTGCCCCTGTTTTAAATAACATCTGGTATATTACTCTAACATTTATTTAGGGCTTCAACACAAATCTTATGGCAAGAAAGAAAAATGGTACTTCAAAGTCAGTGGGGATGTTTCTTGAAAGATCCACTCTTCCTGCGGCACCCTCACTGGGATGCAGATCTGCTCCCCCAGGGAACTCCGTGAGGGGAGACCCTGAAAGCTCTGATTCACAGCCCAGGGAATTCTCATCTTCACTGATACAGCTCAAGATCTGGCAAAGACCTTCCTGCCTATGCTTTCAGATTTAGTCTGAGGATGCAGATGGTTTAATCCCACTTTTGCAGTCACTGAAAAGGATGCATTTTCTAGCCCCATGCTATGGGGTGCGGCAGATGCAAGACTGGAGCTCAGGCCTTCTTGCCATTTAGTTGGTGCTCCCTCACTTCCAGAGCCCAGTGGGGCTGCACCAAGGTGACACAGCAAGCACAGGATTTGGTGTGTGTGCAGCATCCCAGCCTGTCAGCCTTTGGGACAAGGCAGCCCAGTGAGATCACAGAGGCTCTGGCCCCAAGATGGTCGTGACTTCCCCACACTTCTATTGTGTGAGCCCTTCTCAGGGTCTGAGTTTCCTCTCCTGTTAGAGGGTCATCATGCAATCTGCTTCACCTGATTGTTAAACGTTAACTAAAACATGTTTGAATCCGCAGAGGTGCTAAATAAACATCCACCAAGCCCTGGGAATTCCTGGATGCAACCTTGCCAATGACTTGAGGGCCAGGTCATAATCCTCCCAGCAGCAGCCTCTCGCTCTCCATTGCTTCCTAACAGCCCAGGTTAGAGGCCAGGCACAATAAGACCTCAAGAGGGTTAGATTGCCTAAAACAGATGGAGTAGGATCACTGCAGTGGACATGAGGAAAATCCCATGCTATTTGCTTGGTGGATGAGCACAGATGAGCACAGGCAGCTTGGAGTCCATTGGTCTGGGTGTGACCCCAGCCATACACTTACAAATTGTGTAACTCTGGCCTAGTGACTAACCCTCCCTGTTGCTCACCTCCTCACCTATAGACCTGGGTGTATTAACGGCACCTATCCTGCAAGGTTGGCAGAAGATGGAAAGTGCTGAGAAAAGTCCCACACAAGGCAGAGTGCTCTGCAAATGCTGTTACTCTCTTGATTTTAGTCGCTTAGGCTGGGCTGTGGGAGAAAGCACAGCTGCAGCAATGGACTGCTCCAGAGTGGGGAGGCGGCTGGGAACAACGGCACATGCGCATCAGAACAGCCTAACTCTGCTGGCAGTGGATACGCAGCCCTGGGAGGCCGCTGGGGGCTCCAGGCTTTCCACATCAGAAAGCCACAGGACTGATGCGCAAGCTCTCCTGTCTGCCCGGGCTTGTCAAAGACCTGCCTCAACCACCCAGGGTGCAGGGGAAACAGGTACTCCTCCAAGCCACCCCCACTCCTTGCACCCTCAGCAGCCAGGAGAAAATGCAGAGGCCTGATTTTACAACAGTTTGTTTCCTGCCGCCTTTCCTACTTCCCTAAGACCCCCACCTGCACCTAGGAACCCCACTACACACTCCTAGGGCTTTCCTGGAGCCCATTGCACCTCGTGACTCCCTTTTCCTCAGACCACCCTGGGAAGAGCTACCCTCTCAAACCATCAACCCCTCCAGGAGTTTTCCACCATGGTCTGCAAGGCCCTTGGTCTCCTTGCCCTGTCCTCTCTCCAACTGTGTTCAGAACGCTGTTACCCCCTTGCATCCGTCACTATGGCTGTGCTAACTCCACAGTTTTACTACCTCACATCCTGCACCTGCCCACCCCAAGGTGCAGGCTCTGTGGGAGTAGTTCCCGTTGCCCTGCAGTCCCACCTAATGGGGAAAACACATCACTGTTACTCCGGGTGTCTGAGGTCAGATCCTCAGAGCTCAAGCAGCTGAGGCTAAAACAGCACTCTAGCTCATGACCTGACTTTCTGCTAGCTTTTCCTTCTGTTGTCACTACCTGACAGTAAAGTACAGCTTTAGCATCTAAGCACCTCCCCATCAGAATAACTTCCAGGGAGACAAAAATTTGGTGTTTAAATCATTTATCCCAACATCTGGAATAGCACATAACACTGAGTAAGCACTCAGCAAACTCTCACTCAACACATAAGTCAAACTTTAAACCTAGAAGAACATTTTTGTCCCACGTGGAATACAACCCTTTTGATAAAAATCAATCCATTTCCCAACACTAAGTTTATCACTGGCAGCCCCCAAATAAACCCTGGTGTTTACCTTAATGCCAATCCATAGTTGCTGGGCTGCAGCTGACCTTGAGGGGGAGCCTGGTCAAGAGTCCACAATAGATCAACACTCAAACTGTTGCTTTAAAATATGCTGGGGGACAGGACACACACACACACACACACACAGAGTTCCAAAAGGCCCTCCCCTGAGATTGTTTATTAACCACAAAGGGAAAACAAGTTGTACCTCCACTACGTGAGACAAGCTAAGATCACTCCAAATCAGACAAACCGACATGATCTGTCTCCCTGACAGACTGTGATATTCTGGCTAAAAAATGTATAACCTGAACTCAGTCATAAGGAAACAACAGGGGCATTCTGTAAAAGAAAGTAGCCTTATTGCTCTTTCAAAGTGGCCAATACAGAGCAGGATTTGGGCACCGTAGCTATAAAATACTGGTGAGGACACCCCCACAGGATATGGGAGAGTCTGGGTTCAAGTCTCAACTCCATTTCCAAGTCTACTTTCTTGATAATGAGCACCCTGGCAGGCAGCATGTGACGGCTCAAAGCACTTGGGTCTTTGCCATCCAAGTGGGAGACCCGGACTGAGTTCCGAGCTCCTGGGTCTGACCTGGCCTAGCTCCAGCTACTGCCAGTATTTGGGGAGTGAGAAAGCAGATGGGGATCTCTCTCTCTCTCTTGATTAGTCTCTCAAATAAATAAACAATGTCTTTTTAAAGGGTCAAGGTTAGGGAAGACAAAGTCAGGCCGAGGAATTACTCAGATCAAAGGAGACTAAGGAAACGTGACTAATGGGATTGGAGTAGATCCTGGATCCGGGAGGAGTCGTGCTTTTAAAGCAGCATTGGGACCGCTGGCACCATTTACTAACGGATGCTACGTTACATAACAGTTTTGTGTAAATACAATCTCCCCTAAAACTGATCACCATGTCTTTTTTTCCCCTATCCATTTCTACAATAATTATTCTTCTGTGTGCATGTGGAAAGAGGAAAAGCAAGCCTGGCCAAACCTTAATAGCTCCAAGGGCTTATTATGGGGTACCTTTGGAACCTTAGCTTGCAAGTTGCTTATGCCTCAGGACCAATTTGCCTTTTTATCATGATCCTATTTGACATGCACAGAGTGGCTTCCAAGGCCCCACAGTGCTGTGTGGTGAAGCAACATCCTGCTCCCTCTGCATCAGTGTAGCAGCCATCCTTCCTCTACCCCAGCAGATCAAGCAGATGAGGCCAATGAACTCAGGTTCTTTCTGAGCCAAGCTCTGTTTCATGTTTCTGAGGGTGCCTCGTTCAGAACAAGTGATGGCTGCAACATCCGCAACTCCATTCCCTCTGTGGTTACAGAAGCAAAGGTAATTCCCCAGCTCCATCCTCCTATTGATTTCTTAGCCTAGCAGGTCAGGAGAATCCTAAATCTCAAAAACTCATCTCCTGGGTGGGGAACATGGGTAGGATAGAGGGTATGGCAACTAAATCTGTACTATATTTACTTTGTATAAGCTAAAAAAAAATTCTTATGACAGCAAAAATCTGGGTGAATGGAGACTTGAGGTTGACTGTCAGCCAATGCACATTGGGAGGGCTGCATCATCTCTGGACTGGCGATACTGATAGCATTTCAGAACTATCCAAACCACCTGGGCAGAACCCTCAGAACATGCACACATTGGAACCTCGGGTTGATATTGTGTGGCAGTTCCCCATTCCTGGGTATTGGCACATTTGGGAGGCTGGGTGTGGCTTCCCCTGTCTCTCTCTCCTTCCTCTAGAAACAAGAATAGCAAATTTGAAAACAAAACAAAACAAAATTTTAATTTTGCAATGTGTT